TTTGCATTTTGCTTTGAACATCTAACATGCATGAAATAAAGCAGCCACAGTATAGGAGAAATACATTACAAAATATATTTCAAAACTTCACTAGACTACTCAGAGAAAAATCTAAATGGATCCATTTATAAATGTATCCTAACTAGCAAATTTTTGGCATACCAAAGTTAACGTTCTATGTAAGAAAACAAACCTGGCAAAATATCACTTATATTTGTACAATAAGGACATTACATTTATACATAACTGCAAATGCATGCAAGCATTGCAGTTCAACTGATTTCAAAGGACAATGATGATGCTTCTAGAAAAAAAGACATGAGACATAAATATTGTATGGTATAATGTAAATTGAAAATGATTGATTGTGATGAAATGCGAGGTGCTCAAGTTGATGTATTATTTCTATAAACCTCAGAAGAAAACAAAGTCTACATAAAAATAAAGAATAAAAAAATAATACATTAATATTAAGAAAACTGTTTTACAAAGTAATGATGATCACCCTCAGCATGACTTATCATAATATACAAGACCAAGGATTTGTATATGAAATCCATGTTGCTTTGACTTTTCAATTCACCTTAACCACCACCCTGTAAAAAATATAGTGTGCTTGATGGAGATAATTTTGTTTTTTATGACCACTTTTGTTTCTCAAGATACTAAAAAAAGTTTATGATTTCATGCACTAGAAATATTGGATAAGGTTTTATGAAGATGTACTGAAAGGGCCTTTGTAAATTAGTCAAGGAGGGGGGAAGGTAGCTTTGACACACACCAGTGATGTATTAGACATTTAAAAAGGAGTGAACTCATTTAAGGAGTTGAGATTCTATTAGTAGTGAGTTGGTGTGAATTTTAAATGCGGGGAAAAGTCAATCCTTTGAAAGAATACTGATCAAATTTTTAGTGAATATCCAATATTTTAGTATTAGTGTGTGTACGTATGTGTGTGTGTGTGTGTTTTTGTGTAGTTAACAAAACTTGTAATTGAAATCAAGATGGCATACTTTAACCTATAAATGCTTTACTTTCTTCACAGCCACAAACAATTATCTATACTACAACAGCTACTTTGTAATTAGAGTCAATTATTACTGAAAAGTTTTCATTCATCAATGTATATTTAGTGTGCTACATATATTTTTCATATAAATTCATTTAAAATCTGTATATAGATTAAATGCTCTTTTCTCACCATGGCTTTATTTTTATGCTTTATACTGAACATGCTACGTTTTTTTGTCCCCTGGCTTCACAAGCTGTGGTTATTAAAATCATATACAAACACTGACCAGCATTCATTGTGACAAATGTAGAAGAGGTATTAATGAGAATGAATATCTACACAATGCAAGAAATGTATTTGATAGGCTTTAATTGTATCTTCATCAGAAATACATGTATTTCTGACAAAAATACAATGAAAAACAGTCAAATACATCTCTTACAAGATGTTAATTCTCATTTATATCTTTTCTTCATTTACAAACATTAGAAGCTAGAATGGGACCTATATTTTCATGAATAGTTAAAGAGAAACAGTTATTGCTCATCTAGTGGAACTGAAATATTACAAAGATAGTATATATATATAATTTGAGAATACATTTTAGTTAAGTATATGTGCAAGTGTCTGCTATATAATTTTAAAAAGACTTATAATGATTCAACTAAGAAGCACTATCTATGCAATATTGCAAAATGTTGAGCACAAGCAGATATATTGCAAAATTCCCAAAGAGAAAAACAAGACAATTTTCTTATCTTAAATCATGATTGGGAAATATTAAGAACAATTATCCTATTCCTCTTTAAGTATACAGTCAATAATTATGGTTCTAATTACAATTCAATTTAGGGATATTGTTTCATTAGGTAAAAAGTAAATACAAATAAAATGTGTTTTATAACAAAATATAGTACACATATATCCCAACTAAAAAGAAGGAAATTTAACAAGAATTAAATTGCTATTCCAAATAGCACCTTTACCAATTTCTCATACAACTTCCTCCCCCCCTTTTTTATTCAAAGCCACAAAAAATATGCACTCTATTCCAAGTACTCAATGTTCATTATATGGACTGGTGAGTATTTGATAACTAGTAAATATGGCCACAAATAAAATAAATACAACACATACTGTATAGTCAAATAGAAAAAATATCAACATTAGTACCGGTACACAAAAGTGAATACCAATACACAGACTTATACCCACCCTTCTTAAATCCCTCATCCCGGCACACATGCATGATAATATTCTGATAGTCACCATACAATTGAAATCAGATTTATAATACAAAAGAGGGACACTTAGAATATCCACTATAGGAACTATTCTCAGTCATCAAAGGCACTTTGTGATTAGCATATATACACAGTAGGAAGAAATCCAGACTGTGGTGACTAATGATTACAGTACTGTACCATGAATTATCACATTTTCTTGAAGCCGATAAAACTGGATAAGAACGATTTACACCATCTTAAT